GGGTGGGGGAGGGTGGAGAGGGCGGGAGAGAATGGGAGGGGAAGGAAGAGGGACCAATCAGAAGAAATGAACACAGAGAATACTACATGAATGAAAATGCATTTCAGTATCTTTTAATAATTAATGTTCTCCAAAAGAATTCATTCCTATCTATCGTGAACATCTTTTTACTGCATTTTTGAATGCCGGATGGCCACCGCATATTCAGATGGTTCACATATACAAGATGACTCGTATGTTTTTTGTTTTGGACATCTCGCTAACAAGGTGAATTTAAATTACTTCAGACGATTGGTCATACACCAGTCTGTAAGCTACCTTGGAAATTTTAGAACATTTACCATTGCATCTTTGAAAATAGATCAGTATTCTTATTATTCACTTTTCGACTGAATTAACTTTAACTCATTATTGCTCATTTTGTGTAAATCGTTAATAACTGAAATGCATGCTATATCTTAATAAAGTTTAGGTTACAACTCACTCCTAAAATATCTATAGAATATCTTTTCTATTATGTTTTGCCTCCAAAAAATCAAATTTAACAAAGATAATTATTATCAGCCTATTACCAGCCGGGTTGTTAATATCTTGGATACTGAAATAAATATTGTAAAATTTTACTACAAATCACGAATTTAAAAGTACCTACTGTTTTTCGATATTAAACTGCGATTACTGATATTAAACTGCTTATACCGTTTCTCTTAAATATGAAGTCTACTTGGAAATGCAGGCCTCTTGTCATTTATTCATTGAATTAAATGTTGAGACAAATAATGACAATTTTTGACATGCATAACTCGCATTGTGTGGTATCGAAAACGTGGATAAGTCTGTTTTTGGTAATTGTTCTGTTTTTACTACTCTCTGCCCTTTGCAAACATTCGTGTTTGGTTTGGGACAACAAACCCGTTAAATATCCAGGCTTTGACTGTCGCACTAAATATTTGAGAAGTCCTCGAAAACAGTCGTCGCCTCGTTGCTAAAATGCTCTCGCTTTGATTCTGAGAAAGGTCTTCGTTTGAGCACCGTGTAGTAGAGAGTGTTACGATTGTCGTGTCTGCAAATGACTCAACACTGTTACTTTCTGTGCCCTTTTTTCGGTGCTTCTTCCGTTTTATGTTTTGTGACTTCCTTTAGGACTTAATTTGTGACCTTTAGGGACACCGTGGGCGTGGCTTTCTTAAAACAATTATAAGGCAAATCCTTATAATTGAAGCTTTGAAAAGCGTTTTGTGTTTGAGCACTATGATCTAGAGAGTAAAAACACAAACAAATTGATGTCGAAGGATATAATTTCTTTTAATGTTTTAAATACGTGTTCTGAGGTATTTTGTTATACTTTCAATCAACTGTAATGAACCAACGCAATTATTGGGAAGTATACAGTAATGAGCTTCATGCAATGAAACGGTTTACTCTCGATTAATCAAGAGATAGTTCACAGAAATTAGTTGATATCATCCACTTAGTGAAATGAGTTTCCGCATATGTATGCTATACCAGGTCTGCCCACTAAATTGCGCCTGAGCAAAACACGAGCGTAAAAGCACGCGCATAGTATTAGTAGCAATAGGCCAGTTACGTGCAGGTGGCGCAGAAGGGCTGTTGTCGAGAAACAAAAGGAATGGGGAAGGAAAGAGTGGGCTAAAGAAAGGGCCTGCGGGAAGAGTCTCGCGGAAGGATTTGGAGGAAGGATTTTAAGGAAGGGACTGGAGGAAGGGCATGGAGGAAGGGCATGGAGGAAGGGCATGGAGGAAGGGCATGGAGGAAGGGCATGGAGGAAGGGCGTGGAGGAAGTGACGTGGAGGAAGTGACGTGGAGGAAGTGAGGTGTTGGGAGGGAAGTGACTTGGAGGTAAGTGTACTTGGAGGTAAGGGGGACTTTGGAGGAAGTGGACTGGAGGAAAGTGACGTTGAGGGTCAAGTGACTTGGAGGTGTTGACTGGTGGAGGGGATGTGACTTGGAGGGAGTTGACTTGGAGGAGAAGGTTGGGGGTGAAGGTTGAGCTTGAAGATAGGATTTGGAAGAAGGGCTTGTGGAAAGTGAAGTTCGCCAAGTGAAAACTCCATATTCGTATTATTTATAAGAGTTTGGATCATGAAGCTACTGCCCTGAGAACCTACTTCATTGAATAGTCCTAATCACAGTGACAGTAATAATATTTTTTGCGTAATATATAGATAACCTAACCAACTGCTTAACATTATTAAAACGGCAAAATGTGAATCATGAAGTACCAAGTTTTTGCAAGTTTTAAAATCATGTTATTTCCAAATACAATGCTTCAAAGGTAATATTATTGCCTGTTTTATTCAATTTACTTGGGTTTTCGTGCTGGAGGACAACTTGCTTCTGACGTGCGCGAGCGTGTGCGTGCGATCACGCGACGTGCGGCCAGAGCTAAATGTTGCTCTTTGCTTTAACTACGCCTGTAATATATTGTGTGAGAATGACTCTACAGCGTTGTATACATATTTTTTTCTTTTGTTTCAGGTAAGTTGCAGTTCAACACACATTTTTCAACCGAGAGGGTCTGTTTGACACCTTTGGTAAGTCAGATCACTAAAGAATCATTAGTATTTGTATAACGGTACGAAGCTATTATTTAAAAAGAGCGTAACTTAATTTTGAAATATACTCTGACTCCTGAACACAACTTTTACAAACGTGCCTTTCAAATCTTTTTTCCGATTGTCTTAAAATTTTTCTCTCACATCTATCGCTAAACTGCTTAGTATAATTGATCAAAAAGCAGGATCTTGTTTTAAAAATCACTTGAAATCTATTTTACATATTTTATATTTTATTATTTTTTGACCATTATATTTTAAAGACTTACGTAATACAAAACAAGTAACATTATTACTTCTCTTTCCTAAGAATTAAGTGGTTTTATAATAGTACTCCTACAGAAGAGAGAGTACGTCTCTGAAACAGAGGCCTCATTTTGAATATTTTTGTAGTATTGGGAGACACTCGTGGAGGGTCAACATCCCCAAGTTTTGAAATGGCATGTTTTTCAGGAAACGTAAAGGGATGTAAGGTAGTAATATAAATGCAATACAAAACGTTAATGAGCTCTCTGCTTTTAGCATGTGGAATTTTACATGTGAGACAATTTTTTTATGATTAATTACGTTATAGTTTTGAAATCTTTTCAAATGAATATACAAGACACCGTGAACTCGAAAAATTTAAGAGAATAAAGTAAGAACATGTACTTCAGATTGTGTGCATTTTACTTGCAAGGGGTGCTTTCATTCGTAGTTCATTCAAATTAATTTGTTCTCTTACCCAAAGGAATGACAATAGGGCTCAGTCGGGATCGTGGCCAATAAATCTCTTCCATATTTCATAGATGTTGTACCAGTGACAAGGCCCTTTATTAAAATCCATTGATCCCCCCGTTCTAAGACACGGCCGTATGTGAGAACGTTGATGTACGTGTGGCGCTCTGGTGTGGAATGGCCGTCAGCTGCAGTGCTGTCGGGCGCCCCCGGTGCAAGGGTGATTGTCAGCGACGTGCGCGGAGCCGGTGCCGTTAGGGTGGACAACTGTCGCTTTCGCGTGCCGGGGACAGGTGTTGGTGGCGCGGAGGGGCCGAGCGCGGCGAAAGGGCGTCACTGTCAGCCGGTTTGTTTTGTCCGACACGGCGGCGGCGGAGGCGGAGGCGGCTCGCCCGCCACATGGAAAGGTCGCGGCGGCCCGGCTATAGAGGTCACGGTTATGCCGTGTCACGTCGTAAAGCGCCAGTGTCCCCGATCGAGCCCCCCCCTCCCTCTGCCATGGCCCCGGCTGCCGCGGCCTCACCTCAGCTCGCCTCCGCGTTGCCCTCCGCCTCGTGGAACGGCTTCGCCGCGCATTGCGTCTCCGCGCTTCTGCGTCAGCGGCGATCAGAGGGGCGGTTCTTGGAAGGAACACTGTGCGACTGTTGACGCGCTCCCGTAATTTGCAAGTTTTAAGACAAATGGCCGCCTTAAAATGTTTGACACATCCTGTTTTCGGTATTAAAAGGCTCCGTGCCAATAATGTAAAAATGAACGTAAATAACATACACCCATTTTAACGATTTGTGTTTAAATGTGTTTAATCATAGCAGTTACTGGTCAAATGACCTTTTGATCATCCAATATTTTATATACCGTGCTGAAGATCTTAGATTTCTTTCTTTATTTCCTTCTTTCTTTCTTTCCTTCTTTCCTTCTTTCTTTCTTTCTTTCTTTCTTTCCTTCCTTCTTTCTTTCCTTCCTTCTTTCTTTCCTTCCTTCTTTCTTTCCTTCTTTTTTTTTTTTTTTATTTTCCTTTCCTTTTTCCCTTTTTTCTTTAATCCCTTTTTTCCCTTTTTTTTTTTTTTCTATCCTTCCTTCTTTCTTTCCTTCTCTTCTTTCTTTCCTTTCTTTCTTTCTTTCCTTCCTTCTTTCTTTCTTTCATTTCTTCTTCATTCATTCTTTCTTCTTCTTTCGTTTCTTTCTTTCCTTCCTTCTTTCCTTCCTTCTTTCCTTCCTTCTTTCCTCTTATCCTTTCTTTCTTTTCTTTCCTCTTTCTTTCCTTCCTTCTTTCCTTCTTTCCTTCTTTCCTTCTTTCCTTCTTCATCTTTCTTCTTTCCTTCTTTTCCTTCTTTTCCTTCTTCCTTCTTTCTTCTTTCCTTCTTCTTCTTTCCTTCTTCCTTCTTTCCTTCTTTCCTTCTTTCCTCTTTCCTTTCCTTCTTTCCTTTCTTCCTTCTTTTCCTTCTTCCTTCTTCCTTCTTTGCCTTCTTTCCTTCTTCCTTCTTTCCTTCTTTCCTTCTTTCCTTCTTTCTTCTTCCTTCTTTCCTTTTCTTCACTTGTTTCCTGTTCTTTCCTTCTTTCCTTGGTGTTCCTTCTTTTCTCTTTTTCCTTATCTTTGCCTTCTTGGTTCCTCTTCTTCTTTCTTCTTTCTCTTTCCTCTTTCCTTCTTACCTTCTTTCTTTTCCTTCTTTCTCTTGTCTTTTCTTTCTTTCTTTTTTTTCTTTCTTTCCTGTGTCTTTCTTTCATTATTTCCGTTTCGTTCGGTTCGTACGTTCGTTCGTTCGTTAATCTTTGCGTTCGTTGTCGTTGGTTCGTTCGCCCGGTCTGTCCATCGTTCATCATGGTTGTCTGGTTCTAGATTCATTCATTCTGTTATTTCTTCTTATTATTTCTTTGTTTCTTTCCTTTATTATTACATTCTTTTCTGCGTTTCTCCCTTTCCATTCTTTCTTTGTTTATTGATGCTTATATTGTCTAAAATTGATACGACGGATGTAATATCAATCGATATTACGAAAGAAGCCAACTCAGGTTTTTTGTTTGTGATTAAAGTGTCCTCTGACAAATAAAGAATGTATGTCATCACAATTTTTTGAGGTCCGATATTAATCGAACCTGTTTATTTTTCGTAGATAATTCCGCATGTTTTTATTTCATCGTGACTGGTTGTGTCTTGTTACATGTCGCACCCTCAGTTATTGATCTCGCTTAGGATGTGTGGTCCAGGGCCCTCAGGTTACGCGAGGCACGGGTGGCGTAGGGTGCTAGGCTGGCGTGCGTGGGGCATCCGGTGGCGGGGTGCGCGGTGGCGGGCGTGGGGGGCTGGGCGCGGGGCGTGGGCGTGGGCGTGGTCGCGGGCGGCTTGCGCGTCTGGGGCGTGGCGCGTGGGCGTGGCGCGAGTGGCGTCTTGTTCGGGGCTGCGCGGGGCGTGGCGCGGGGCGTGGGCGGGGCGTGCGCGGGGGGTGTCTGTGGCTTTTGGACGTGGGTACGTGTTGGGTTGCGGGTTGGTTCGTTGTGGGTATTGGGGGGGTTCTTTGGGGTTCGGTTTGTTGGGTTTCGTTATTTTTTTTGTGTTTTTGGCGTGGGGCGCGGTTGCATGGTTTGTCTTTTGGTGTGTGTGGGGGGTTGTCGTTGGGTTGGTGGTTGTGGGTTTGGTTTGTGTGTTGGTTTGGGGGTGGTTGTTTGTTTGTTGTTGTTGTTGTTGTTGGTTGTTGTTCGGTGTTGTTGTGTTGTTGTTGTTGTTGGTTGGTTGTTGGTTAGGTTGTTGTTGGTTGTTTTGTTAGTTGTTGTTGTTGTGTGTTGTTGTTTGTTGTTGTTGTTGTTGTTGTTGTTGGTTGTTTGTTGTTGTTGTGATGTGTTAGTTGTTGTTCGTTGTTGTGTTGTGTTTTGTGTGTTGTTGTGTTGTTGTTCGGTGTGTTGTTGTTTGTTTGTTGTTGTTTGTTGTTTGTTGTTGTTTTGTTGTTGGTTTGGTTGTTGTTGTTGTTTGTTGTGTTGTTGTTGTTGGGTTGTTGTTGTTGTTGTTGTGGTTTGTTTTCGTTGTTGTTCGTTGTTGTTGTTGTTGGTTGTTGTTGTTTGTTGTTGTTGTTGTTGTTGTTGTTGTTGCATTTGTGTTGTTTGGGTTGGTGGTTGTTGGTGTTGTTGTGGTGTTGGTTTTCGTTGTTGTTGTGTTGCTTGGTTCGTTGTTGTTGGTGTGTGTTGTTGTTGTTGTTTGTTGTTGTTTGTTGTTGTCGTTGTGTTGGTTGTTGTTGTTGGTTGGTTGTTTGGTGTTTGTGTTTGTTGTGCGGTTGTGTTGTGTTGTTGTTTGTTTGTTGTTTGTTGTTGGTTTGTTCGTTGTTGTTGTTGTTGTTGGGTTGTTAGTTGGGTCAAGTTGGTGTTCGTTGTGGTTGTGGTTGTGTTTTGGTTGTTGTTGTTGTGTGGTGGCTTGTTTGGGGGTCGTGGTCGGGGCGGTGGCGGGTCTGTGGGGCGAGTGCGATGGGGTGTAGGCGAAGGTGTGGGCGTATGGGAGGTGGCGGGGCGTAGGGTCGTAGGGCTCGAGTGGGTTCGGAGGC